TGAGAGTGGTCCATTCTCAACTAGAGCATCCTGACAGGCAGCCCGAGTAATAATAGTATTGAGAGTGGTCCATTCTCAACTAGAGCATCCTGACAAGCAGCCCGAGTAATAATAGTATTGAGAGTGGTCCATTCTCAACTAGAGCATCCTGACAGGCAGCCCGAGTAATAATAGTATTGAGAATGGTCCATTCTTATTCTATGTATACCTCTTGGTCTTAGGATTTGTCGCACAGGGTTCAGATAAGTCCTCAACTCTCCTTTCGTCAGACGAGGATCATTAGCCTTCACCACTAGTATAATCCCATGGAGCCAATCGCTGAACGGGGTATCTGCATTAGCAACATTGTATTCCTTTTCATCACCCTTTCTTGAGATCACATCTCCAGGCTTCAGTCTGCCATACAAAATATCACTGAACTCGCCTCCTTCCTGTGCATCATAGTGGAAAAAACCTCTGGTATCTACAAGATTGGTGAACATATCGGTGAGAAAATCCTCTAGGATGATAGTTCCCTCGCCTCCTGACGTTCCAATGGTAACCGGTCCTTTATCAACTTGCTTGACAGCCCTGACGCAAGTGTTGATAAAGCAGCTCTTGCCGGATCCTGTAGGTCCAAAGACACCAATGCGAAGCTTCTTCACATCACTTATGTCCAAACCACGGAAGCTTGCTAAGTTTGTTTTCTCACCAAACTTGTAAGCAAATAAACCTTTTCGTTTGGACGTCGCTTGTTCTTCAAGATCTATTTGCCTGATTCTTTCTTCTTGTTCTTTTCGTTCTTCTTCAAATTTTACTTGTCTTTCGGCTAGTTCTTCCTCTTGTTGTGTCTTCAAAAACTCTTGCCTTGCCCTATCTGCAGCTTCTAGCTTTTCTTTCTCGATTCTTCTTTTTTCAGCGATTTCTCTTTGGTGGCGCTCATTTCTAAGGCGGCTCTCCTCACTCGCTCTTTCTTCTTCCTGTCGTTCTGCAGTGTGGTCAACATAATTGTACCGAGTTTCGGTTTTACTTTCTCCGCTCTGACATGAAAAAAAGTCGAGAAAATGTATTTGATCTATGCACTATTACTGGTTTAAAAATAACAAAAGACACTACGGTGCATGGCCATGTTGGATGATATAACAAAATAGAAAAATCTTACAATACAAGATTTTCATCTAATAATAATTTCTATAAAAAACAAGTAAGAACAAATTATGGTAAATTTACATTTAATTTTAGTATTTCTAAAATCTGGGAAACAATACCCAAATCAATCAAAAGTCTTCCTTATTCATCCTTCAAACAGATGTATAAGGAATTCTTACTCAGTAATCAATAACAAAATATATATTTATATTTAATTATTTAATTTATCTCCTTTTTGCTATAGAGGAAAATTTATACTGTTGAATTTAATATTATAGTCTTTTGAATTGTAGTCTTTTTCTTTTTCTTTTTCTGACCCTAAATGAAAATTACGACAGCCAACTAGAAAGCCTAGCTCCTTTGGCTGTCGTACACTTACACCTATTATATTGTTAATTATATTAAAAATTCTAAATATTATTCAATTACATATATTCTTGTAATGCTATTATATAAAATTGAAAAAAACAGTGTAAATAAACTGAAATTGAATTGAATTGAATTGAGACTAATCACGAATCTATGTTAATAGACCGATCCCGGCTATGCTTCAGTGTCCACCCAACTACGGGGTAGTTTTCCCAATGGAATASAGAATTTCTGACCAACAAACTCAAATTCATAGGATATTTTAGCAGTTATAGAGTTATGTACCTTTAGAATGCATTTATTCTAAGACAGAAATTTACAATTTTTATCAAAGACACATTTTAGCTTGTCCGACGTAGCAACAGTAACTAGGGAGGTAGAACAATAAATGCGGGATCGGTGTATTCATCCAACATGGCGGCTATGAAAATACCCGGCAATGTTTTGTACAAAATATACCACCATGCATTTTGTTCGGTACCAAGCTCAGAATGGTTAGATTATTGTTATTTAGGTTTGTATCTTGTTGCTCCTTTGTGCTGTATAGGCTTCTCTTTTTGTCAACCTCCCCTTCCCTCTTCCCCTCCTCCCCCTCCCCCCCTCGCACTCCTTGACTCCTGACTATCGCATTACTATTCAATTGCAAGTTTATGAAAAATTCGGTTCTATTTTTTCAGCAAACAATGACTTGAATTTGAAAAGGAACTGAAACACTTTCGATTTCATAAGTTTAGTTTTTCCGGCTTTCAAATAATATTCATATTTGGCTTCACTTAGAATTTTCGTTCTTGAAAAAGGTCAGTCCAAAACGTGCGTGGTAGAATCGAAACGAAATATAGGACTAAGCTACCATCAGTATTATAATAAAAAATACGCCAAGAATAAAAGCACTGAGTCAGGTGGATTTCTCGTCAAAGATACGAGTAAAAGCTTGGCTTGAAAAATATTACAAAATGCTGGTATGTTGTAGCGGACTTACCCCCATGACTGAGTAGAATTGTCGAACGACTAACGCTCCAAAGTCTGTGGAATAAATAAGGTAGCTTCTTCAGCAACTGAACTGTAAAGGCGAAAGACTAAAGCCCAACATGTGAGGGAAAAAACCCCGGCTATGTAATGAAATATAGCAAAAGCATCCTACTGGTTTTAAGAAATGTTTGCTTGTCACGCTGTCACGTAAACCGTTTCCAAGAAATATTATGTAATAGGGGAATACCCTTGAGGAATTGAGCAATATGATTGGCTGCGAGATCACGAGATTCGTGCAATGCATTAATTAGTTTTTCTAGATCAGGGGGTGTAACATTTAGGTATTTTGTTGACCCATCTATTACATGAACCCCCGCAGACTATACAATATTTAAGTTATTTTAGCTACGGATATCCTAAGAATTAGGTTACGATTGGAATTTAGGACTTTGAGCCATGTTATTGGCCAAACTTTTTTATCTAGCAACATTTCTCTTCAAAATGTTTTATCTTTTGCGCCCATCCCTTTTTCCTGGAAGAGAGATGAACACGTTGTATTCTTGGAAATGCTTGACAAACGCGTCACGCTGTAGARCAGTTCCAAGAAAGCTAAAGATAGCAGGGTAATCCCCGAATTCAAAAGCGTGCTCGGGATTGGTTCAATATGACCTTGTTGGCTGAGTTGAACTGTGGATGGCTTGTAAATAAAGAACACATGCAAATATAGTTGATATTTTAGTAGCCAAATATGCTTATGAACAGTCTGATCCATTCTTTTAGGGAAAAAGATATTCGATAGAAGTAATTAGTGGCATATATACGATATGTCAAACCAGAAACTGAAAATTAAACATGTGGTTTTCGCCTTTAGTTCAGAATTGGAAAACAACAGATCCAATTCTCACAAGTCTGTTTCAGCTGCTCGGTTTGACTTCACCGCGCGCACATCGGTAAAAGTGGGTCCAGCTCTGGACTAGCCAATCACAATGAAAACCGCTTCATGAAAACAAGATAAATACTTGTAATCGTTAACAAAACATTTTTTCGTCATTTTAAAGATTATTGTCAATAATAATTTGAAAATAATTATTTCATTACTAATTTTAAATATTTGCTTATAGACCAATATGTTAATTTTCAAAGAATTCAATAATAATGCTTTAGTTAGAGTGATTTTTTTTTTTTTTTTTTTTTTTTTTGTCTAAAAAATAACTTTAGTTAATAGATAATTTTTAATTTATGTTATGTTTCAATTCGTGAGCTGCTTAGGATATATTTCTTAAGGATTGAGAATTAAATTTTTCAACAAGGCCAAAAAATTTCCTTTAGATTTGTTTATCTTTGTTTGTGG